GGCCCTCCGGCAGCACGGTGCTCCCTTGGCGCTGGCCCTCCGGCAGCGTGGTGCTCCCTTGGCGCTGGCCCTCTAGCAATGCAGTGCTCCCCAATTACTGACTGGCCAACAATGCAATACGCTGTCGGTACAGATCTTCTAGTCTTTTTTTTAATCAATTCCCTCCTGCTACATGGTTTGAACTCTTCAATGATCTCCTGAATCACTGGGACAGGTTTTCAGATAGGTTGGACCTTTACAAACAGGACTGTCTGTACCCTGAACCAGAATGGGACTAACATCCTTGTGGGATGGTTTGCTTGTGCTGATGACAGCAGCTTAAACTATTTCAGCAGGGGCAGGGGTCACAATGTGTTAGTTCAATAGTGTCACAGCATAGTTCAGAAAAGGAACTAAGGCAGAGCTGGTTCAGCCATGTGTGTCTCAAGGGAGTAAGACTAAGCTGGACGGCCTCTATTTTAATGCCAGGAGTATTAAAGGTAAAACATGTGAGTTGAGTGTGGATTGACACATGGAATTGCAATGTTGTTGCAACACTGAGATGTGGTTGAGGGAGGGAAAGACTGGCACCTCAACGTTTCAGGGTATACGATCTTCAGGCAGGACGGGGAGGATACAAATGTGGAGGTGGTGTCGCATTATTAGTTAGAGAGTCAGTTACTACGGTAAGGAGGAATGATATCTTGGAAGGGTCATCAAACGAGGCTTTGTGGGTAGAATTTGGAAATAAAAAGGGGACAATCACACTGTTAGGAGTGTATTATAGGCCTCCGAACAGTCAGTTGGTAATTAAGGAGCAGATGTGTAGTCAATTCACTGAGCCATGTAAAAATGATAACGATTGGGTTAACTGCCACAATATAATTATTATAACAGTATAGAGGGTTCAGAGGGGGCAGATTTCTTGAAACAGTACTGGACCTAATTCTGGGGAAGGAAGAAGGATAGGGATTGGAGGTGACAGTGGAGGAGCATTTTAGTGATAAGAGTTTTGGGTTGGCGCAGAGCAGATTTTATTAAAATAAGGCAGGAATCTGGCCAAAATAGACTGGGAACTGCTAGTTGAGGCTAAATCTTCAACAGAACAGAGGAAAGTGTTCAAAAAGGTACTGGTTAGAATACAGGCCAAACATGTTCCCTTAAGGGTGAAATGTAGGATCAATAAGCCCAGAGAACCCTGGACGTTGAGGAATATTCTGGACTGGATAAAGAGAAAGAGAGACTTTTAAATAGGTACAAAGAAAACAAATCAATAGTCACCTGAGAGGAGTATAGAAAGTGCAGGGCTGAACTCAAGAAGGCAATTAGGAGATCAAAGAGGGGTATGAGAAAACACAGGCAGGCAAGATTAGGAAGAATCCCAAGACACTCTGGAAGTCAGTAAAGGGGAAGGGAGAATAACCAGGGAAAGAATAGGATCCAAAAACAGAAATTGCTGGAAAAGCTCAGCAGGTCTGGCAGCATCTGTGGAGAGAAATCAGGATTAACATTTCGGGTCAAGTGACCCTTCCTCAGAATCATTCAGAAATGGTAACTCTGATTTCTTGCCACAGATGCTCCCAGACCTGCTGAGTTTTTCCAGCAATTTCTATTTTTGTTTCTGATTTTCAGCATCTGCAGTTCTTTTGGTTTTTAAAGAGTAGGATCCATTAGGAACCAATCTGTGCATGAAGCCAGAGGATATTGGTACAGTGAGTAAATGAGTACTTCACATCTGTCTTTACTCACGAGAAGGATGCAAGTACGGAATTCAAGATGGACTGTGAAGTTCTTGAGAAGATTGATATAAGAAGTAAGGAGATATTGGAGTTTGATGAATTTAAAAGTGGACAAATCCCCAGCTCTGGATGAGTTGTATCCCAGGCTGCTGTGGGAGACGAGGGAGGAAATAGCAGGGGCCCTGACCCAAATTTTTAAATCATCTATGGCCTCAGGGGAATTGCCAGAGGATTGGAGGACAGCTAATGTGGTTCCACTTTACAAGAAGCATGGTAGAAGTAGAGCTGGGAAATATAACCCAGTGAGTTTTACATCAGTGGTAGGGAAACTAGTGGAGAAAACAGTGAAGGAGAAAATTAGTCTCTATTTAAGAGAGGCGAGGTTTGATCAGGGATAGTCAGCATGACTTTGTCAAAGGAGATTCATGCCGAATGAATTTCACTAATTTTTTTTTGAGGATGTGACCAAATGTGTTGATCAGGATATGGTATTTGATGCAGTTTATATGGATTCTCGACAAAGTCCCTCATGGGAAACTGATAAAGAAAGTACAATCTCATGGGATCCAGGAAAACCTGGCTTGTTGGATCCAATATTTGGTTTTGTGGAAGGAGATCCAGGGTTGTGATAAAAGGCTGTTTGTGTGACTGGAACTGGGTGTGTGTCGTGTACCATAAGGATCAGTGCTGGTCCCTTACTGTTGTGATATTTATAAATAATGTAGATGAAAACATTGGGGTCAATGGTAAGTAGGTTTGCAGATGGCACAAAGATTGGCAGTGAGGAGTAAGATCTTAGGTTACAGGATGATATAGACAGGTTGTTCAGATGGGCAATTCAGCGGCAGATGAAATTTAACACTGATAACTGTAAGTGATGCACTTTGGAAGAAGCCAAGAAAACAAGGGAGTGTTTAATGAGTGGCAGAACACGAAGAAGCTTAGAGGAACAGAGGGATGTTGGGGTGCTTGCCCACAGGTCCCTGAAGGTGGTAGGACAGATTAATAGGGTAGCTAAGGCAGCAGACGGGATGTTTGCCTTTATTAGTCGAGGTATAGATTATAAGAGCAGGGAGGTTGTGTTGGAGCTGTGCAGGACTTTGGTTAGACCACAGCTGGAGTACTGTATGAAATTCTAGTCACCACACTATAGGAAAGATGTGATTGCATTGGAGGGAGTACAGAGGAGATTCACCAGGATGTTGCCTGGGATGGAGCATTTCAGTGATGAAGAGAGGATGGATAAACTCAGGCTGTTTTCTTTCAAGGAGAGAAGTTTGAGGGGGACCTGACAGAGGTGTATACAAATCGGAGGGGCATGGACAAGGGAGCACATTTTTTTAAAAAGTGAAAGGCAGGAGGTTTAGAAGGAATTTGAGGAACTATTTATTCACCCAGTGGGTGGTGGGGGTCTGGAATGCGTTGCTTAGGACGGTAACCAAACCTCACAACCTTTAAAAAGCACTTGAAATGTCAAAACATTCAAGGCTACGGGCCTAGTGCAGGAAAGTGAGACTGGTGTGGGTAGTCGTGTAGTTTGGGTGGTACAGACTGGATGGGCTAAAGGTCCTGTTCTATGCTGTATGATTCCATGAATGTTGAAGGGACGGAATCACAGGGATCTCGGGGTTCCAAAAACTCTCACGATCAGGATACAACCTCTAACTTGCCACAGCCCAAATTTTACATGACAATCCCAGTGCACTCATGCTCCAGCTCCGTGCCAATCCCAGGCCAATCCCTAGGCAGTGCTGAGCCAATCGCAGGCCAATTCCAAGCCATTCCCAGACTTGGCAATCCCAGACCAGCCTCGGACACTCCCAATCGAGTCCTGGGACAATTCCAGACCCGGGCTGGACTCATCCCGAGACAGTTCCGGACAATCCCGAGCAATGAATGGTCTCAGTGCTAAAACAGTCCGGTTGCTATAAATTGTGAAGTTTACTTAATTGTCTGATACTGATGGGATGTAACGGAGGGTCGGGCGCATTAACCATCAGGGGCAGGCTAGAAGCTCACTCACCTCTCTCAGGAACTTGTCCATGACGTTTCAATGCAGCTCCTTATCTCAGTTCAGGGGCAGAAGGTATAGGAAATGTGGACGAAGAACATGTTGGGTCTGTCGGTAAACAGACACCCAGAAAAGAGGGAGCCCAGAGAGAGAGAGAGAGGTGTGCCTACACCGATCCTGTAGGGAAGCAGGCACACACTCACTCACTCCGGTCCCCTCACTCTCTATTCCTCTTTCTCTTCCCCCTGACTATCTGCCCGTATCTCTCTATGTCCCTCTCCCTTTCTCTCTCTCTCTCTCGTCATCACTGCCGGCACACTCAGTATCTGAGCCAGGCTGGGTCAGAGCTTCAGGATCCTCTCTCCTCCTACCCGTCCATATATGGACCCGGCTCATTCCCCTCCCCCAGTTCCTGCCCTGCAATCAGTTAACTCATTCACAACTGGACCCATCGCTGTTAGATCTGATAACGGAGGAACTTTAAACAATAACTAACAGGCAAATGCTTAGAAACAGGATCAGGCTAAAGCTATTTCAATCACGGCTCAAATTCAATCGCCGAGAGGAATTCTCACTCTCTCGAACATAGAGTGATCTTGATAAATGAGTAACAGGGGCTGGCAGGGCGCCTATCTCCCCAAACCCAACCACAAACACAGACTGCGCCAACAGCAAGGCTGCAAGCATCAACCTTCAAACTGGAGGTTTGCTGAGACTCCACATATTGACATTTCAGAATGGCAGACTGTACAACAGTTTTTCAATCCATCAGTAATTACTGTATCCCATTGCACATAATACGCAACCCCCAACATTCCAACGTTTTGCAGCCAACAAAGGCTCTCTGAAATGTCACTGTTGTAATGGAAGAAACAGGGGCCACAACACTGTTCTGAGAAGGGTCTCCCTCTGCTCTACTCCTCTCCCTTCTTAAGCTTTCTCCCTCCCTAATCGACCCCTCATCATCTCTCCTCCCTTCCCTAACTGTCCACCTCATCACTGCACCTCTGCTTCACTCCATTCACTCAATTCCCACAGCTACTTTTCACCTAGTATTGTGTGATGAAGCATGGTTAATTGGTAATGTAAATTATCGGTAATTAGTATCGGTAAAAGATCCATTGGGAAATTGTGCTAATAATAATGAATCCATGCAATAAATTTGAGAGTGACATACTCCAGTCTTAAAACATAATGTTAAACTTAAAGAAAGCCAATTACATAGTTATGAGGGAAAACTGGCCAAGAATAATTGGGGAAGTAGACTAAAAGGATTGACACAAAAACAACTGTGGAAAACATAATCACATTCACTGAGTTTGCTCACTGAGTTCCAGGTTTTTGTTTTGGACTGAATTCTCTCATTATTTTTCCTTGTTGGCCTGGGATAGAATAATCACTGACAAGGTCAGCATTTTTGTCCATCTCACAAGCTGGTTAAGAGTCACAAAAACAGAAATTGCTGGGAAAGCTCAGCAGGTGTGGCAACATCTGTGAAGAGAAATTAGAGTTAACATTTTGGGTTGAGTGACTCTTCCTCAGAACAATTTAAGAGTCAGCCACATTGCTGTAAGTTTGGAGTCACATGAGATCATACCTTAAGAAGAGGAGGTTTCCCTCCCTGAAGGGTATCACTGAACCAGACGGGTTTTTATTACAATCAATGATAGTTTCAAAACCATCTTTACCTGGTCTGGCCTATATGTGACTCTAGTCCCATAGTAATGTGATTGACTCTGAGCAGCCACTCAGTTCAAGGGCAATTGAGGAAGAACCACAAGTGCTGACCTTGACAGCTATGACCATGTCATGTGAAAGAATAAAAGGGGAAAAGAATCAAATTCTACCAGCACTAGCAGCTAAAATTTGGTTCTGAACCCATATCATCAGAGCATTTATCAATGATTGCTAGCCCAATACTATTACCTGTACAAACTGATAAAATAACTAAGAACATAAAAACAGGTTAAAAGAGCTTGCGCATGTTTTAAGAAGCAGCACAGCAGCTAATGTAAACATTGATCTCTTTGAGGCAGAGACAGGAGAAATTATCATGGGGAATGGGAAAATAGAAGTCAGTGAAGAAATATTTCAACAGAAGTTGCTGGAAAATCTCAGCAAGTCTGGTAGTATCTGTGAAGAAAAAATCAGAGTTAATATTTCGGATCTGGTGACCCTTCCTCAGAATTGATGGTAGCTGGGAAGACATTGGTTTATATGCAGAAAAGAGGGAGGGAGGTGGGGTAGGGAGTAAATGATAAGATAAAGGATGGAGCTCAAAGAGAGAGAAGAGCAGTTGGATAGGCAAAGGAGTTGATAATGATCTGGCTAGGAGGGGGAATAGCTGTTAATGGGGACTCCTAGTGACTAAGAATAGGTCATGTAATATGGCAGCCTATGTGATAACAAGGCCTTATGTGTGAGGTAGGGGGCTAGGACATGGGAGAGTTTAGACCCTAAAATTATTGAACTGGATACTGAGTCTGGAAGGCTGCAGGGTTGCCAAGTGGGTAATGAGGTGTTGTCCTTACAACTTGCACTGAGCTTCACTGGAACACTGCAGCTAGTGTCTTTTTTTCCTTTATTCATTCATGGGATGAGGGTGTTGCTGGCTAGGCAGCATTTATTGCCCATCCCTAATTGCCCAGAGGGCAGTTAAGAGTCAACCACATTGCTGTGGGTCTGGAGTCACATGTAGGCCAGACCAGGTAAGGGTGGCAGTTTTGTTCCCCAAAGGACATTAGTGAACCAGATGGGTTTTTCCTGAAAATTGACAATGGATTCATGGTTGTCATTAGATTTTTAATTCCAGATACTTTTTGACTTCAAATTCCATCATCTGCCAAGGTGGGATTTGAACCTGGGTCCTCAGAACATTATCTGGGTCTCTGGATTAACAGTCCAGTGATAATACCACTAGGCCATTGCCTCCCCCCAAGACAGACCATGTAGCCCAGGGAACAGGGTGGTGTGTTAAAGTGGCAGGCAACTGGAAGCTCAGGACCTTTTTTGCAGGCAGAATGTAGATGTTCCGCGAAGCAGTCACCCAGTAAATATTTTCCTAGCTACTATCAATTCTGAGAAAGGGTCACCAGACCTGAAATGTTAACTCCGATTTTTTTCTTCACAAATACTGCCATGCCTGCAGAGCTTTTCCAGCAACTTCTGTTTTTGTTCCTGATTTACACCATCCAGAGTTCTTTTGGTTTCTAATAAATATTTCAAATCTGTCTTGACAGTAGAAGGGACAAATTGCATTCCAGAAATAGAGGATGATGGGGAGCTAAGAAGAGAGAAGAATTAATTAACATCAGGAGAGAAAAAGTACAAGAGAAACATAAAGGACCATAATACAACAAATCTAAGGGGTTAAAGACCTACATTGCAGGGTTTGAAGAGATTGATTTTGACAGAGTGGTTGTGCGAGCTATGATTTTTCCAAGATTCCCTAGATTCAGGAATGGTCCCGACAAATTAGTAGTTTCCAACTGTTACACCTCTATTTAAGAAAGGAGGGAAGAAAAGACAGGGAACTCCAAGTCAGTCAATCTGAAAACAGTCTTCAGAAAAGTTATTATTTGGAAAGTCTTAATCATAGGCTTAGAAAATCAGAATATAATCAGACAAACTCAACCTGGCTCTACAAAAGGGAAATGTCTGACAAATTCACTGGGGTTTTTCCAGGATGTAATCAATAGGGTAGATTTAGTTTGGGTAGCATGCCTCTCAACTTCTTACGTCACCACAGCCTTAGTTCAAACATGAATAAAAGAGGGAACTGAATTCCAGAGGTGAGGTAAGATGGACTAATCTTCACATTGAGGCAGATTTTGATGAAGTTTCTTTTTTATTCATTCATGGGCTATGGACTATATCTGACTGAGCAAGAACTTATTGGGGAGGTGGTGGCCGAGTGATATTATTGCTAGCTAATCCAGGCAAAACCAAATTAAGTTAGAGGCCCAACTATACGGTCTCCCACCACCAGTGGCAATGCCTATTATGGAAACATAGAAGATACGAGCAGGAGGAGGCCATTTGGCCCTTCAAGCCTGCTCCACCATTCATTACAATCATGGGTGATCATCAAACTCAACAACTTAATCCTGCTTTCTCCCCAAAACCTTTGATCCTATTCGCCCCAAGTGTTATATCTAGCTGCCTCTTAAAACATTCAATGTTTTGGCATCAACTACTTCCTGTGGCAATGAATTCCATAGGCTCACCACTCTTTGGGTGAAGAATTGTCTCCTCCGTCCTAAATGGTCGACCCCGAATCCTCATACTGTGATCCCTGGTTCTGGACAACGTAACAGGATACAAAATGAAGTAGAGCAAGACAGTGGACAAAGTTACATCCCTCCCTGATGCGCTCTATGTTCGGTTTGAACAGAATGCCAGTGGCACAGTGTCACCTGCCCCAATAGCCCCAGACCCACCAGCTCCCTCTGTCACTGCGGCAGATCTGTCTTCCTAGGCGTGAACCCAAGGAAAGTGGTGGGCCCGGGCAGTGTTCCCTGTCATGCACTCAGATCCTGTGCTGACTGGCTGGAGGAGGTATTCACCGAAATCTTCACCCTCTCCCTCCTATAAGCTGAAGTCCCCTCCTGCTTCAACAAGACCACCATCATCCCAGCACCTAAGAAGGCACATACAACGTGCCTTAGTGACTATCCGCCCAGTGGCTGTGACCTCCATAATCATGAAGTGCTTTGAGAGGCTGGTTACGATCCACATCAACTCTAGTCTCCCAGCCTGCCTCAATCCTCTGCAATGATGATGTAACAGATTCACAATGGACACATTTCCCTAGCCCCGCACTCATCCCTGGAACATCTGGACAACAAGGACACCTACAACAGATTCCTGCTCATTGACTACAGCTCCAGTTTCAACACCATTATCCCCTCCAGACTGATCTCAAAACTCCGGGACCTAGGTCTTGGCTCCGCCCTCTGCAACTGGGTCCTCAGCTTCCTGACCCACAGACTGCAATCAGTGAAGATAGACAACTGCACCTCCTCCACGATAACACTCAACACTGGAGCCCCCCAGGGATGAATCCTCAGCCCCCTTCTCTACTCCCTGTACACACACGACTGCGTTGCCAAATTCCAAACAAATGTCATCTACAAGTTTGCTGACAAACCGTGGTAGGACAGTAACCAAACAACGATGAGTCAGAATACAGAAAGGAGACAGAGGGCTTGGTGACATGGTGCAATGATAACAACCTCT